TAGTTGATTTTCTTCTTAACGGTTTAGAAACATAGTTAATAAATACTTCTTTTAAAATTTAATTACGAATGTTTTAAATTCTTTTTTAAACGACTAATGTGCCTTGGTTAGTTTGAGCGCATATCCAAACTAATCCTTTATCCGATAATTTTAAAATATACTTCTTGTATTGATTTAGTTAAATAAAAAATTAATTCTTTTATATAAGGACTTTTAAAGATAAAATTTAAATCTAATTTACTTATCAATATAACTAACCTTAAAATTGTCAATTTTTCTAAAAATTTATCAAAATAAAACTTAAGTTTGTATTTCAAAAATAATGCGAAAATACCAAGAATATGTTTATTCGAGTAAAATGAATTTAGTTTTTTTAAAGAAAATTTTAAATTTAAATTTTATAAAAAAAATAAATATTAAAAGTGCTTTTTTTTTAACAAGACCTAATTTAATTTGATTTTAAATTAATTAAAATTTAATATAATTATTAGATATTATAAGATTAATAAAAATAAAAAAGCAGAAATCCACAATTTGGAAATCGTAGAAAAGTGGATCTTTCTTGCCAAAACACAAAATTCAGAAAAATGATGAGCAGCGTCCCGCAAAAACCAGCTCATTACAGTCAACAAAACCCTTAGCGAATCGCAAACGCACGCGTGGAAAGCCACTGTTTTCCAACCGCACACCTGTTAATCTCAGTAAATGGCGGCCTCCCGTTTATTTCATCATCTCAACGAATAAAGCATCTTGGAAGTTGACGAGAAGGGGAGTGATATTTAAGTAATAATAATAGAAAAAGATATTAAAAATGTGAAAAATCAGAGCCAAACCCAAGCCTTCAAAGGGCTATATAAACAGAGATAAGACTACCAAGAAAAATGCAAGAGTGTTTGGGAGGTCAGAAAAATTGAGAGCCATAAACACAGAAAGCTTGAATATTTTCTTTTAAATCCCCCCTTTTTTCTCTGATCCCCCCCGCTTCTCTGAATCCCTTTCTGTCATCGTCTGTCTTTCAAATTATAAAATTTTAGTGGATTTTGATCTAAACTTGTTTTTGAAAGCCAGGTGATTCAGAATAGAGATCCAGGTTGTTTTGATTTTCAATTCCTCTTTTTTTTTTTTTCTTTTAAATTTTTTAGCTCTAATCTGATCAACTAAGAGGGTTTGTTTTTGGTCCCTCAAGGTTGGTTTTCCTTTTTCAAGGATATCGTTACTGCCTGTTCTTTGATTTTGGTTTAAGAAACAGGTTGTTTTGATCCATTTTGTTGGGTAGAAATGGCAGCAGCTATAGATATGTACAATAGCAGCAGCAACAACAACTCAGGTTTCTCTGACCCTTTCAGAGAAGAGTTGATGAAGGCACTTGAACCTTTTATGAAGAGTCCTTCATCAACTTTACCTTTGTCCTCATCCCCCTCTTCTCCATCTTACCCTCCGTGTTCATTCTCTCAGTTCACTTCACCTTCACAGCCCAATTTGTACCCTGAATTTTGCACTCCATCATATACCCAGTTTTCACATGGGTTCACTAGTTTTAACACCCAGATGGGTCTTGAGAAAACAGGTCCAATTGGGCTTAACCATCTTACCCCTTCACAAATCCTTCAAATCCAAACTCAAATCTATCTCCAACAGCAGCAGCAGCAGCTTGTTTCAGTAGCCACACCATCACTCAACACCCCAAGGGTCAACTTTCTTTCCCCAAAGCCTGTCCCCATGAAACAGGTCTCCACCCCTTCAAAGCCCACAAAGCTATACAGGGGAGTGAGACAGAGGCACTGGGGCAAATGGGTAGCTGAAATTAGACTCCCCAGGAACCGAACCCGCCTCTGGCTTGGCACGTTCGATACAGCAGAAGAAGCTGCTTTAGCCTACGACCAGGCCGCTTATAAGCTCAGAGGAGAGTTTGCCAGGCTCAATTTCCCTCACCTCAAGCACCAAGGAGCTCACATCTCTGGCGATTTTGGCGACTACAAGCCTCTCCACTCCTCTGTTGACGCAAAGCTACAGGCTATTTGTGAGAGCCTGCAGAAACAGGGGAATACAGGAAAGCCTGAACCCATCGTCGACACAAAGTCCGTGAATGTTACTCCTTCAGAGCCCAAGACGGAGTTTGATTATTCAGTAAAAAGTGAGGAACCTGACTCCCCCAGGCTGAGTAATTCCAAGGTGGAGAACTCATCCTCCTCCCCGGACTTATCCGAAGAGTCATTGGCCGGTTCTTCTTCACCAGAATCTGACATCATTTTCTTGAATTTCCCTGATTCCAAGTGTGAGGAGACTAACAATCTCGGATTGGAAAAGTTTCCTTCCGTGGAGATTGACTGGGAAGACATAATGAAGCTATCTGAATCATAAGCACTTTATATTTTTATCATGTAATATGTTCTTCGTTAAGGTCTTTAGTTAGTCTCTCTGGTAGCTTCTGCCATGAAATTTTTGGAATTTGCAGAGGTACTAGTAGAGAATTTTAGGTGTCAGTTTGATAGGAAGAGAGATCTCTCCCTCTCCAATCTTGGTCTTGCTGGTACATTTTTTCCTGGCCTGACCATTGGAGGGTTTCGTGTTATCTTTTATGTAATCTTTTTGTTGCATCCTTGTAGGCGAGTTCAAAGTAAATATCATTGTCTTCTTCCTTTGAGATATACATTTCATGTTCATGTATCCCTGTTGTGTATATAGAAATGGTCTTCGACTGCACATGATGTCTCTGCATAATATTGTTATGGAACTCAGGATCTGTATATCTTGTTTTGTCAAGAACCATGAGCTAACAAGAACTATTTTTCCCTATTAAGTTCGGAAGACCTATGAACTTGTTTAATCATATGGCGAATGATAAAATAGAATGATGTAATCTTTTTATTCAAGGTTATGTTAAATCAGTATGCTTTCATTCAATTTAAGGTTATATTATACAAATTATAAAGGTTTTTACAAAAACATATTGTACTTTTAACATTGTTGTAATCATTCACTTGTTTATATCCACTTGTTTAGGTTGTTGATTAATAAATCATAACATGCATAGACAAATTTCCTGTCGCGAGAATAGGATGAAATTTTCTTGGTGTTGAAATCTTGAATAAATGGCATAATATAAATAGAAAAGAAAGTTATAAAGAATTACTTCCATAAAAATTTGTTGCATCACGAGAATGGGGAGAAGTTTTCCTAATCTTGAATCATCTGGAACTCACTAATGAAGCAAATGGACAAAATTCAAGAATCAGAAGGAAAAATGGGCAAATCCAAAATGGGGCCAATGAAAGATTATGCAGGAAGACTCACGATTTCATTTGCAAATACAAACAATGGTTGATTTGAAACCATGGAGTATCAGTGATTGTCTTCAAAATTAAATCAGATGTAAAGGTTGACCAAGTGCAAGTGGATAGCAATTATTGCTATGCACTTGCGCAATGAAGACAACATTGCTGCTTCTTTAAGTACAATTCTGTTATGTAATCTAAGCCATCTCTGAATTCTCAATTGTTTCTTTAATTAAATTGCATGCCCAAGTTCTATCAATTATGTATCAATCATCCTGAATAAGTATCAGTAATTGAAACTTATTTAACTAATGACTCAGGGTTCGGAACCTAGAGATGCAACGAAAGGCTTTCTTAAGAAACTGAAAAACAAAAAAAATACTACCATCACTTCTCACTTCTTAAACTCTACTCTAACATGAGTAGAGTTTGTTTTAAGTTTCAATAGGTTGGTTTAATTAGTAAAGAAGTTTGTTCAGTAACTTGTTGGTTAATATTTTCTGTTTAGGAAGGTAAACTCAAAGATGCCACCCTTGACCATAAAATTCATTCATACACTTTGTATATCAATTTAGAGATGGGATGGTAGGTAAATGAATCCTAGCAAGAGAAAAAAACTTCAATTTTGTTCCGGTCATGAAGATAGGGAAGTGTGAAAGTAAAAGAAGCAATGATTGCAATAGAAGCATATGGGATTACTTTATCAGTTACTATATCACTTTAGGAGGTTCCAAAATCATCTTTACCTTCAAGGCATGAAACAGGTGGGAGAAGCAAAACCATTGAATTCTTGCTCAGCCCAACATTTTGAGATTTGGGGCACAAAAAATATGCATACCATCTTATCTCCTGAATCTGAGATAAGGAATTTTGGAAGCCACCCTCCAAAAGAAATCAGCCAATCCAATATTCTTATTCTTTCTTCCTAGCATGCCAAGACAAGTTCACACTATAAAAAACAAATAGGAAAAAGGAAAGGGACTGCCCTTCTTGGGCCATTTGGAATCCTTAGAAAGCTTAAGCACACCCTTTAATCTCTCTTAAATACCTTTGATATTTTAATAAATAGAAATATTTTCTTTTTTGAATGTTGAATATATTGTTCATTTTACTGTAAAATTCTGTAGGGAACATCCAATAGGAGCCAAACGGGAGTGTGAATGGAAGGAAACTTGCATCCTAAAGCTTATCAAGGATTCCTTTTCGAGGGTGAAAAGAAGGCCATACGCAAGTTGGTCATTCCACTTTACAGGTCCGAATGATGTGGGTTTGAAGGGCACTTTAAGCCCTTAACATAGGCCAAGGATATCTTCTCATCTTCATCCAAAAAGAATTAGTTTAGATACTTAGGCTTGGGTGGATGAAAGAGATGGAGAAGAAAGTGGAAAGTATTGGCATTGCCACTATGTGTGACCAGAGGCAAGCTTTTCCAAACTACACAAAAAGTAGAAATCAATTGATAGATGCCACCAAAAAGAAAAGAAAACAACACCATAGAAGAAATAAGGAAAGTGATGCTGTGTGATTTTCCTTTCAAAAGGACGATGGCGTGTATTAGGGCCTTTATGGGGTGCATGTGATGCACAACTACTGACCTACCACATCTTCGTAATAACTAAAGTGTGGTACCTGGACATTCATCCAAAGCTTTCCAACTCATTACAAGTAAGCCTAGCTTAGGTCATACGTAAGCTTAACTCGTTATGGACAATAAATTGGCTCAACCAACATAGCCAAAAAGGGAAAACATTGTAGATAGGAAAATGATTGGTACATTTTTTACCTTAATACACTCACTAATACATTTATTAATAAATTATTATTTTCAAATTTAAATTGAAAATAGAAAAATTTAAAGTTGCATATTTCATTACTTGAGAACAAAGTTTAATCAACATAAATTTTTGTCAATTATAAGAGAAATTTTGTTAATTCTAGGTGTAACCGACAACTAACTTTACCAAATAAATAAGGATTGAAAATAAGTACAATCGAAAAAATGTTTTTTGTCAATTATAATCACTTTAATTGACAAAGGATTTCTGTCAATTAAATAAAATACAAAGCAACCATATTCAATATTAAAAATAGTATATTTGATAAAAATTTCTCTCAATTATATTAGTATAATCAACAGTCATAACTGTTAATTATAATTGCTCTAGTAATAAAAAAAATCTAGAATTAAAAAATGTAGAATTAAATTTTTAATTTTGCAGTTATTAATTAAGTTATAAAGTCATTAAGCAAAATTCAATGATAAAATCAATCAAGTGTCATAACAATATATATAAAATAATTTTGACAATAATTGAAAAATAAGAACAATATTTAAATATTATGAGAACTAATGGAAAAACAAGATAAATGACAAGCAATTTACTTGTAATGAAATAAAAAAAAATGCAAAAAGAAAAAGAAAAGGCCATTGTTATACATTATAAGATTTTATTCAAGTAAAAGGGAATGAAAAATATAAATCAAAATGTGAATTTACCACATAAAATGATTTTAAGCTTAATAATTTGCAAAAAATAAAAATGAAAAATTATAAGCAGATCAAATAGAAGTAGAAGGATGACAACAACAAAAAAAAAAAAGAAAAGAAGAAAGAAAAGAAAAATCTTGAGATGAAAAATGAAAGAAAAATGAAGGGAAAGTAGAAGGATGACAACCAAAAATGAAAATAGGAAAGGTAGAAGGGATGATGAAAGAAAGGCCGAAACAAGAGGGAAAGATGAAGACATGCAATGCAAGAATTAGAAAGGTAGAAGGAAAGGGGGAAGATGAAAGAAGAAAAAAAAAATGAAAGGGAGAAGAAGAAGAAGAAAAAGATAAGAACAAAGGGAGAAGGGAAATAGGGTTAAACATCTATGGGAAAGGAAGGAGGAGGGGAGAGGTAGGAGAAGATGAGATGAGAAGACATTTGCTAATTTTGCTTCTGTGTTCGTATATATAGATGAAATATATTCGATAGAAATTTTGTCAGTTATGGTTTAAAACGGCTATTGATTGGGTTCTAAATTAGATCAATAGCAAAATATAACTTTTTTTTGGATGAAAAAGCAATAAAAGTTTAACAGACAACATAGTATGATTGTCAATTATGTTTGTATAACCGACAATAGTGCTATCGGTTATACAATTATAACCAACAACAATATGATTGTCCATCATATATTAATATGTTTGTAGTCTTTTGAAATGGTTAAAAATTGGTCTATAGATGCTTTGTTACAAAAATTTTAGTATCATAAAGTGTGAGATTTATTTTAATTAATATTATATATTCTAATTAATATAAACTCCAATATTATACATTTATAGTTAGTTAAATCATTATATACACATCAAGTATATACTAAATAATAGCACATAAGTGTTTATATAGAAATTATGTGCATTACATATGAACATATAAAAACTTAGTATAAAATATCAATGTCTCTAAGCAGAAGGTGATAACGAATAGCCATAAAATATCAATATCCTTAACTCTATATTAGAAGATTATTTTTTGCCAAGTGAGGTGGGATACATGTATAATCAATAACATTAGTGCTACTATTGGATGTCGATTATACATATATAATTAACAGAAATTTTGTTGATTATACATATATAATTAACGATCAATAGTGACTGTCGATTATATCAAAATTTATAAACATATATGTTAATATTTAACCTTTCACTAGTAGCATTTATAAATATATTATATATTTTGTAAATCACAAATTTGGTAGTAAAAATTTAACATTATTAAATATGAGATTATTTTTAGTTAATATTATATATATTTTTAGATTAAATTATCAATTCTAACACTACACATTTATAGTTAGTTTAGTCATTATATATATAATATATACTAAAGTATCTATAAACACATGTCCAAATGAACATGGATACGAACATGGATGCTAAAAACATCAAATATCAATATCTCTAACTATGGGGTGATATGTGGTCTAGTGAGGCAAATTCTAACCCTCAAAAAAAAAAAAAAAAACCACTAGTTTAGGGTGGCGCAAAACCTGTAAATAAATATTGTTGATTAAGTAAGTAGATATGCTCTTGAACCTCCTAT